TTTTTTTTTTTTATTAAAGATAATTTCATTAGCAATGTTGCCATTTAATTAAGAATGATAGATAATCATTTTTGACATAATGTTCAGGCTTATATCACATTGCACTTTGTGACATGTGTTCCAGATAGCGGGGAGGAAGAAAAAAGGATTTTTTTTTGAATCTAAAACTGAATAAAAGAGCCATCAGTAATTAAAAAGAATTAATTGATGAAAGTTATATAATGCAAAAATACATGTTTTGTGCTTACTGCTGATGTTGACATTGGTTTAAGAATTTAGCTTTATTATTTAATTAGATTAGTGTCCTCCATAGTCATTAATTACTGAAAGCAACAGCTAGACAAAACATAACACACTTGAGACGTAAGTCCATTTGGCCAAGCTATAAAACAATTCAGGACTGTGTGCGACACTAGCAGTGTCAAAATCACAAATCAGAGGATGATCCACACTGAGTAGCAATGCATCATATGCATATATATCGGACAGACATTTATGCTGACGGCTGTAGGAAGCATATTATGTAGCTATAGATGTATTTGAAATAAAATAAAAATTTTTCAAATGACTCTTTTTTTCCGTTGCATTTCAAAAAACTTTCAAGAGAAATGAAGAACGATCGTTAAAAATTTTTTTGCTATATTTCTTTTCCAAATTTTGGAAAAAAAAAGCATTTGCACGCGATAGATAGTGAATGCACATGCAGTGCAAGTTACGTAGAACAGTTTCGTCATTTCATCTTCTCCCTCTACATTGCACCATTTTTTTGGAATGTTCGCCCTTACACTGTTTTATTCTCATTAACAACCACATCATCAGTGTTTTTGGTCGGATACACATAGCTTCGTCAACTTTAACCTTTCAGTTCTTTGACTGTATCGTTGGCTTGTTACCCAAACACATCTTTTCATAACTCTCCTTCCTTTTTCATTTCACTCACCTTCAAAATTTTATTTGTTTCTAAAGGGAAGAATGTCGTCGTTAAAGGGAAAAGGAAGACCGATCGATGTCTTCATCAAAAATTGAGTTCATTTTCATCTTTAGGTTTTGTGCAGATTTTCTGAAATCAAAACTTGTAAATGTTTTCGGAGGAATAATGTCCAAATACTAGTGATAGTTTGATATTATTTTTTAACACTATTATTGTATAATGAAATTCAATTCCTGCGGGAAATATTTTGCCAATTATTCGGCCAAAATGTAAATCCTGAAAAAATAGATCTTTTGAAATATTTTAGGAAGAGTTAAATACATGTGTTGTTGAAGCATTATCAAATGCGGCACGTATTCTATCCGACGAATCTGATTATCCTCTATCCGACTCATTATCCGCAACATCTTCACTTAGTGAATCATTAACACAGGTGCCTTCAACTACACCTACACCATCACAGTCACAATTTCCAATAACTCCTTTTTTCATTGTGCACAACGAAACGGGTCATACAAGTACCGAACTACTACCACCTCAGGTATCATCAACAGCAGCAAATAACAATCATATCGGAAAACGACATGTGTGTGGAGATTGTGGCAAGGTAGTCAATCGATCATCTAAACATCTACTATAGATATTAAATTTGCCATAAAAGATCCATATTTTGGCTTACTCCATCATTTACACCGATATGGCATGTTATATTTATGAATCCAATGATATTGTAGCATGTTTGGCATGACCAAAATAAATGAAAGCAAATGCTAAAGGAAAGGATGTTCTAAACTTAAAATCATTAAATTTTAAGCTTACAAATTTTGAATGTGACTTAAAAGTTTTAGATGCTTTTTTAATTCGTGAAAATTTTTGACTTTTAATGTATGTTAATTTTAAAATTAAAATCACAGGCCTTTCCTTACTTGTCAATATTGGAATCTCATAAACGTTGCCATACTGGTGAGAAACCATTTGACTGTCATTTCTGTGAAAAGAAGTTTGCACAAAAAGCGACGCTACAAGTTCACGAACGAACTCACACCGGTGAACGGCCGTTAGTTTCTTACTTTTCTTTTCGTTTATTTAGATGGACGGACAAAAGGTTTCAGTAGGACTGTTTTTTTTTCCTCTTTCTGAATATAAATTATTTTACGGCTAAAATTTTAACTGAAAGATACAGAGAGAAATTTTGGCATCTCACTGTGTGCGTTAAATATTTTTGGTATTTGATTATGGCAAATTTAATTATCCATTAATTTGAAAGATCAATTTTGTTTTCTGTTGTTTTGCTTAATTAGCGTTACAAAATGTAAATTTGTTTTAAGTTACAAATGTAAATACTGCGACAAAACGTTTGCTCAGTATGGTACAAAGACCGTTCATGAGAAGAGTGCACATTTGGGTATGTATCATTACCACAGCGGGATTCATCTCGTCTCCTCCCATGATTTATTTTCTCACAAAATTCTATCAAAAAGAAAAAAAATTCAATTATCATCAAATACAGCGCATTTACCTGCAAAATTCTTTTTTTTCTCTCTCTTTTGGTAAATACAATTTCAGTTGGTTGCTGTAATCTTCCCTTTTTTTTGTTTCTTTTAACTTCATTCTATTCTAGACTTCCACTAAAATTGGTTTCACCTCAGGTATTCGGAATTACAAATGTCCAAAATGCAGCAAATGTTTATCGTCACCTTCAGCATTGTATACGCATAAGAAAACTCATGGTGAAAAGACATTACAATGTGACTATTGTCCCAAAACGTTTGCATTGAAGAATTATCTAAAGTTACACGTGAAACAAGTACACGAGCAATCGGATCGCAAACATATTTGTCATTACTGTGATAAGAGTTTTGCTTATGCAGGCAGTTTGCAGGTTAAAATTTTTATTGCTACATGCTATGCAAAATATCACTTACATTATTCATTTCCACCAAAACTAAAAAGAGAGATCGATAT